GTGCTGTGCAGTGCCCGTGCTGTGCAGTGCCCGTGCTGTGCAGTGCCGTGCCCCTTGCCTTGCCGCGCCGTGCCCCGTGCCTCTTGTCCCCTCCCCGGGGGCGGTCCGCCTCTTAGCGGCGGAGCCTCATAGCGGCGGCTCTCCGCTGCTCGGTGCCATGGGCCGGGGCCGCTCCGCTCCGCCGCCATGAGCCGCCGCCCGCTGTGCCAGCCCGGCGCCAACGGCACCGAGCCCATGCGGCCGCGGGGCAACGGCACGGGCCGGCCGGCGGAGGGCTGCGGCGCCGTGTCGGTGGCGTTCCCGCTGACCATGATGATCACGGGCATCGTGGGCAACGCGCTGGCCATGCTGCTGGTGTCCCGTAGCTACCGCGCCAAGGAGAACCGGCGCAGGCGCTCCTTCCTGCTGTGCATCGGCTCGTTGGCGCTCACCGACCTGACCGGACAGCTGCTCACCAGCCCCATCGTCATCGCCGTGTATCTCTCCGACCGCGCCTGGGCCAACGTCGACCCCTCGGGCCGCCTCTGCGCCTTCTTCGGCTTCAGCATGACCGTCTTCGGTCTCTGCCCGCTCTTCATCGCCAGCGCCATGGCCGCGGAGAGGACGCTGGCCATCCGCGCCCCGCACTGCTACGCCAGCCACATGAAGACGCGGGTCACCAAGGCCGTGCTGCTGGGCATCTGGCTGGCCGTGCCCGCCTTCGCCCTGCTGCCGCTGGCCGGGCTGGGCCGCTACGCGCTGCAGTGGCCCGGCACGTGGTGCTTCATCAGCGTCGAAGGGCAGCGCCCCGGCAGCGCGCTCTTCGCCTCCGCCTTCGCGGGGCTGGGGCTCTTCTCGCTGCTGCTGACCGTGGCGTGCAACCTGGCCACCATCGAGGCTCTGGTGTCCCGCTGTCGGAGCAAGGCCGCCGCCTCGCGCTCCAGCAAGCGGTGGGGACGGATCGCCACCGAGACGCTGATCCAGCTGCTGGGGATCACGTGCGTCCTGTCGGCGTGCTGGTCGCCGCTGCTGGTGGGTGCCGTCGGGGGGTCCGAGGGGAGGCGGTGCGGGTGGGACGGCGCGGTGAGGGAGCGGCGGTCCCAGAGGGCAGAGCGTTTGGAAAGAGACGACCGAAACCTGTGATGGAAAGGAAGGATGAGGAGGAGAAGCGGGGGGGGGGGGGGGTGTAAAAAAAGGGCTGAATGTGAGGAGCCGGGGCTGGGGTCGGGGGGGCGGGAGAGGGCGGGGTGTGGGGGGGGCCGGGGGGAGGCGGAGCCCTGTGCAGCCCGGCGGGTGGGCCGAGGGGCAGCAGAGCGGGGGCCGAAGGCACAGCGATAAGGGAGGCAGAACCTCCCTGCTCCGTGGGGCCCTGCGTGCCCCGTGGGGTGGGAAGGAGTCGTTCTGTACTTTTTATTTGCACTCTTTGTAGCGAAACTGACCTCCGTGCTCTGTGAGAAAAGGTACCGTGTGTGACTTTGCAAGCGCCCTCTGGTTTTCAGCAGGTTGCTCTCTCTGCTTATTTAGTGTCGTTTTCCTTGTTTTTAAGAGCCCTTATCTTGCTCTCCCTCTCTCGTGCCCCGTTTTGGCGCAGACCCCTCCCCGTGCTGTAGTAGAAGGGACTGCGTCCACATCTGCTGCTTCTGTATGGGACGAGGGAGCACCCAAGAGTCCAGAGCCCTTCATTGTGCCATCGGAGGACAATGTGGTTTGGGAACAGTTTGTACTGTTTGGAATCCTTCAGCAGGAGAGGGGCGAAGCTCGCTTCCATGATGGGTGCTGGATGGCACAGGGAGGATTTTTCTCCCTTCTGTGCACAGAGAGCTCGAGCCCTGTGATGGAAAGGCTGGCAGAGCTGGCAGTTCACATGGCCGAGGTAAAAAATAGAAAGTAAATTAATTTATGAATATTATCCTTGTAAAATTCCATCAAATCTCCCAAACAGCCCTGCCCCCAAAAGGAACTCAGAGGCATCAAGTTTAGAGATGATTAATAGCTTGTGATGGAAGTAAAATGTGATCTCTGCTGTAAGTTGAGTGAGAACTCGAGCTCATCCTACTTCTGGAAGTCAGGGGGTCAGAGCTGGTAATGCTGGCAGAGCTGTGCTGCTCTTCCTGTGCTGCAGCCCCAGCAGCATTTCAGTCGTTCTACAGGAGTTAGCTGCTGCATGCTCGTCTGTAATTAAAAGGATTAAAAAAAAATGAAAGGAGAGTTATTAAAGGCAGGAAATGCATTTCCCTCTCAGTTCTTGTTCTCATATTCTTCCCATCCGGATGTGGGTGCTGCTCTGCGCTCCCCCAGCTTGCAGGAGAGCTGCTGCACATAGGCTGGTAGAGCAGAGGTGCCTGAGCTGGGGGGTATCTGTTGTCCTCCTTTGGGATGTGGATGCTCAGCAAATTGATGACAGTGCAGGGATTCCTCGTGGTGCTTTGCCTCCTGCACTGCTCAGAAAGCTGAAGTACAGAACCGTGGGGGCTGCAAGGGGCCTCTGGAGCTCCCCCAGTCCAACCCCTATAAGCAGTTTTCCACTGCAGGTGCTCCAGCACCTCTCTGCGCTCTGTGCAGGGCTCTGCTGCCCTCCGTGTCTCTGATTTATGCCATGTTTAGAGGAAGAGAGGAACTGTGTTCGTAGTGCAGGCGCCAGGTCTTTTGGTGTGCAGTCAAGACCGTGCCTTCAGCACGGAGAACCTGAAAAATGCTCCACTTCCATAAGGCACTGCTTTAGTGTAAATGGCTTCCAGTGTGCACTGCCATGGTGCTTGTTTGGTGCTCGGCTGCTGAACAGAACCACAGAGGGAAACGAGCAGCAGACCAGGGCACTCCTGGGGTGACGGAGACGTCATTCCTTGTTTGCTCACAAGCACAGCTGCACCCAGACTCTCATTCTCACAGTCATGCTTTAGCAGCTCCAGGGTGCAAACTTACTCACTGCCGTGGTACTTTCAAGGCTATTCAAGCTGAAACACTCAGATATTTTGCTGCTTTTCCTTTCAAATGTGCAGAACAGTTCCAGAAAGCACCTTTACTGAGAGAAGGGAGGCAGCGATGTCACTGCTGAGGCACTCATCCTGTATGGAGTAGCACCGCGTCCTGCAGCATTGGAGGCTGCCTGCTTCCATGCCCTGCACACAGGGTGCTGCAGCAGGGAAGGCCCAGAGAGGCTGTGATGCCCCGTTCGTCCCTGGAGGTGTTCAAGGCCAGGTTGGATGGGGCCCTGGGCAGCCTGGGCTGTTACTGAATGGGGAGTTTGGTGGCCCTGCGTGTGGCAGGGGGTTGGAGCTTCATGATCCTTGAGGTCCCTTCCAACCCAAGCCATTCTGTGATTCTAGGATTCCATGACCTCCTGCAGCCAGGGCGCTGGATTTTACTGCACTATATTTGTCCTACATAAGAGCACATCTGGATGGTAAAAATGAGACCATGTGCTTACTGCACGTGTGTGATTCCCTGTGTTGCTGCTCTCCTGCTAATGTGCTCACCTCGTTAAGGTCCTCAGCCTTCCCTGTCAGTCTCCAGGTGGACTGCAGGTGATTTCGGCCACGTTTCACAGAAACAGAGGGATTTCCTTCTGGTCCCCTGCATTACAGGAGCTGAGGACTGCAGAGTGCACAAGAGGTGTGCAGTTCTGCTTTGCATGCTGGCTGCAGGTGCTTTACTGGAACAAAATGACAATTCCGACTCCTAGATAAGGTGGTACACGACTGTAAGTATTAATAGATGCTATCAGGAAAAATCATATCCTGGCTTCGTTGTGGTTCACCCACCACAGCCGCTCTTTATTTCATCTGGAGAGTCCTGTATTCCTTCTGCAGCTCTCCTTGCTTTGTGGGAGAGAATTATTGAGGCAGCGGATTAGGGCTAATGGGGGAGGAGAAGCAGTGTAAACAGATAAATCTTCCCGTCTTCACAATGCGCGGAAAACACGTTTGGATTTTTGGAAGCTATGTGATGAGAAGATTCCGCAGTTTGGACCAGGAATTTCACATCCGATTCTTGCCCCGCATTCCAGAGCAGCCACTCAGCCCTCGCGTGGCCTAAAAATACACACCTCTGAGCACAGCAGCTATTTGCTGTCTATCTTGGACTGCAGATAGCAGCAGCGTGGCCACGCAGAGACCAGAAGATGCCCCCTGAGTGAGGCGGTGTGGATGGGCTGCTGTGAGCGGACGAGAACACGCCGTAACCCTGAGTGCTGCCTTGCAGGGTGCTGCAGGAGGGACTTCTGTACAGCAGAGAATTTCTGATGGTCTGTCATCCAAAACTGGTTCCTACCACCCATGTGAAACAGAGCACGGTGCCTGCTGGGAACCCACACAACTACCCCGAAATTCTCTTGTGAACTACAGTCAGACTTCACAGAACGTCCGCTTGTTGGCTGCGAATGCCGCAGCAGTGGAGGCTTAGTGCTACTGCACAGCTGCACTCAGTGATAGCTATAGACTGCTATCTAATTAATTGATTAACTTGCCCATTATATTGCTCTCCGTGTTCTGAGCCCAAGGTTTGTTGGCATGGATTGTACGGTTCTTCTGACTTTGCTCCACCTGACACTGTGCCTCTTCTTTTTGCATTCTCTCTCCTAATTAATTTAGACCAGTACAGACCACGATAAACAGTCCCCAAGGACACCAGAAAAAATTTCCAGTGAGGCAACTGATGCTCCAACAACTGTTCCATTATGTAATGAAGACCAAAATAAGCAGCAGTTGCCTGCTTGAGAAACGTATTTTATTAGTCTAATATTTTTGTAGCTCCATGGATTCACTCGCGAAAGAACAAAACGATGAGGTCTGCAAAGCTTGTATAGGGCTCCCAGAAGACGGCCCTGAAGAGCGGATGGAGGGACAGCAGTGCTGGGAGTGATGGGCACGGCTTGGTTCCCACCGGCTGCAGCCGGGGCGCAGCGGCACACAGACAGGAGCTGCTCGGTGGGCACTCAGGCAGCAGGATGGTGCCAGGGCCCTCGCTCAGCTGGGGAGGCAGAGTGCAGAGCCAGGGTCGTGTGGGCACAGTGTGCCTTGGGCCATTTGGGGCGCTTGAGATCCGTACCCACATTCTACAACCTCTGTCTGACTGCGGTTGCTTTTCATTTTTGAGTGAGTTGAATGTAGCGGATGGAATCCTCAACTGCTGCTATTTAAAGAAACAAAAACAATTCTACTTTGCTGTCGGAGCTGCCCTGCTGTCTGGACTGCCATGTGGAAGTCCCATGCGAACGTGGGGCGGAACATGTTGATTTTGAGGTTGGCAGAGCCCTGGCACAGAGCCCACAGAGGTGGGGGAGCCCCCTCCAGGGAGATTCAGAACCCACCTGAGTGCTTTCCTGTGCAGCTGCTGTAGAGGTTGGACTGGGGGATCTCCAGAGGTCCCTTCCAACCCCTACAAGTCTGTGATTCTGTGCGCTCTTCCAAGCCTTTCCCAAGGCCACGGTCATTGATCTGGCACCCAGAAGATCCCTTCAAGCAGAACACCCTGCAGGCAGTCCTGGACCCTGCTTAGGGCAGCCATTCCCTGAAGCCCAGCCATTGCCTGGCCATGCAGTGCTGCTTGAAGGCAGCACTGTGCAGAGCCCCAGCTTGGGGGGCCCCTTCTAGAGGATGTTGCAGAGAGCTTTCGTAGGGCTGTCAGTAAGTGGCCAGGCCTCGTCCCCCAGCTGCTCCTGCCTGCTCAGGCTGGGTGCTGCTCAGTGCCCAGTGCCACTGACCATCACTGACGTCGTGAGCCCTCCATACAGATTAGAAGTGGCGTGAGAAAGCTGTAGGATTGGATATAGAGCTGGGCAGATCCTGGAGGTTTGAAGCCACGTCGTGGTGATAATTTCTCAGCATCTGGGCTTATATGGGTGGGTGAGTGAGTGAGAAGTTGGGTAGGGTTAGTACAGTGCTTAGTGAAAAGGACATGCTGCACTGCTTGCTGGCATCCACACCACAATTGGCAGACCTGCTGCATTCAGTTCCACTGAATTTCCAGACAGCCAAGGCCTTCAAGTCATGCCTGGAAAGGATTTGCATGCAAAAAATGACTCGTCCAGGAAAAGTCACGCATTCAGCTGCCCGGTCCTCCGGGCACCCATCCCTAGTGTTGGGTGCCTCCCTGCTGCCACGGTGCAGGGACCAAGCCTGCAAACACAGACAGCTGTCCCTGAGCTCTCCCCAGCTCTGGCTTCCCCTCTGCCACCGCACCGTGGAGCATCGGGAGCCGTGCTGCACACACAGCCAGGTGCAGGAGCACAGCACCCTGCCCATCACGCGGCCAACACGCGTCATTTGGCAGCGAGCTGCAGCCCTGGGGCTGCTCAGAACAGGTTTGGATCCCCGTGCTTATAGGCCTCTGGAGAAGGCTGCAGCACAAAGTGTGACGTAGCTTATCTGCAGAGAAGCGAAACGCCTCCAAAGTAATGTATTCAAAACGACTGTAGTTGATACAGAAAGGTCAGGGGAAAACTTGAGACATACCAACCAACCACCGTGGAAAATCAAATATGTCTGAGAACTTTCAAAACATGATTCACGTTTCTCCTGGTTACACATTGGTATATGAGCATCCCAGCACCCACTGCAGGGCCTGATGGGGACAGGCTGGCAGCCCCAGCACTGCTCACTGGAGAAGAGAAGGCTGAGAGAAATCTGACGGGTGCTGATGGATATCAGAAGGGCAGGGATCGGGAGAGGGGCTCTGTGCAGTGATGGCCAACCTAAAGCAGTTCCCTACAGCTGTTGCACAGGAAAGAATCCTTGTGGGATTCAGCTGTTCCTTGTAATTGAGATAATATGAAAATGAGAAGATGAGTCCCTTTAAGGCAGTGTTGCAAGGTCAGTGCTTTCCCTTTGCTGTCCAGGACTGGATCTGGGGCAGGGAATCAGCACGTGCTTCCTTGTGTTGGCATAAGACCTGTGACTGTTTGCCTGGCAGCAGGAACGCAGCGGTGTGTGTGCCGTGGTCCTTAGACACAAATGCACAGACTGAGCTGCCTGCCCAGAGCTTGTGCATAGTTTCTATGGTCATGGTTCGAGTTGGACAAGGGGAGGAAGAAATCCCTTAGAGAATCATAAAACCATAGAAGCATTCTGGTTGGAAAAGGCCTCTGAGCTCTCCAAGTCCACCCCCAGCCCACCCCGTGCCCACTGCTCACATCCCTCAGTGCCACCTCCCCGCAGCTCTGAACACCCCCAGGGATGCTGACCCCCCTCCCCTGGGCGGCTGTGCGGTGCTGAGCGCTCTTTGGAGCAGAGATGTCCCCCAGCACCCAGCCTGTCCTGCCCTGCACAGCGTGAGCCGTCACCTCTCATCCCATCGCTGTAATCCAGGAGCAGAGGCTGACCCCCCCCACCTCTGCCATACTCTCTGTCAGGATTTTGTCTCTGGGGGTATTTGTGCATAGAGATGCAGAGATGGTCTCTTAACTGTGCCATTTTTCCCTTCCAACTCTCCTTAGGTAATGATGCTGAGGATGATCTTCAGCCGCACATCTTTTGAATCGTGCAAGGGCTTCTCTGCAGAAACCCAAAGCTCAGAACTCTACAAAGAGTGCAATTTCTTCTTGACAGCTGTGCGCTTGGCCTCCCTGAACCAGATCCTGGACCCATGGGTTTATCTGCTGTTCCGAAAGATCCTGCTCCAGAAGTTCTGCCAGGCGGCCAGCGCTGTCTCCAAGTGCTCCAACAACGAGTGGAAGGAGAGAACCATCGCGTTGTCAGATGAAATCCGACGGACGGCGGCGTGACGGAGCGCGGATCCGCTTGCATGGAGACTGCTTTGGCCAACACGTGGCTTCGTGTCTTACTGTGAATTGGGCATCTGTCGCATGTTCACATCTGCGTAAACAGCGGAAAGCGGCAGGGCTGAGCAGCCTTAGAGTGCCAAATGAGTATTTATCCAATGTGCCAAAAATTCTCCGATGTAGACAGAGGGATTGGTTTTCATAGAATCGTAGAACCATAGAATGGCCCGGGTTGAAAAGGACCACAGTGCTCATCCAGTTCCAACTCCCCTGCTATGTGCAGGGCTGCCAACCACCAAACCAGGCTGCCCAGAGCCACATCCAGCCTGGATGTTGCTGAATTCTGTTGTTACTGTGATTCCCAATGGAGCTGCAGAATGCGACTTGTTGTCTGCCCAAGTGGAGCTTGGAGGGGCTTTTTGGTCTGGTGTTAAGGTCGGAAAAAGTGATTTTTCCATCAGGGGACGCTTGGAACAGATTCAACAGATTAATTATGGAAGAGACCCGCTCCTATGTGTAACCTTCATGCTTAAGATCATTTGCTTCAGAGAGTGTTTCGTCCTTGTTTTTTTCTGGATGGACAAGGAGAAAAAAATGGCAGACAATACACTAAGATAAAAGGAGGAGTTTTTATTTGAATTTGCATGGCTTTGAACAGAAGGTTGAGTTGTAGCAGTGATGGTGGATCATCTTTTGAGGATGAAGGAAGCCTGCACCTGGTGACATACACTGTCCTGCTGGATGCTCATTCTGTGTGGATGCTGGGCTCAGCTCACTGCAGGGCAGGGTGCAGTGCTGGGCAGGCAGCAGCAGTGGGAAAGCTGCACTGCTTTGCTTTCTTTTTTATAGCAGCTTGTGAAGCACCCATATGTCACACAGGTTGCTGATAGCAGAGCCCTCTATAAAACTACTTTGCACAGATGGAGAGAGTGATAAACAGGTCATAAGAGGCAGAAAGCGTTCATCTTCCTGTAGATTAGGGCAGAGGTTTACAAAGGCAAAAAGACAGCTTTTGTATGGGTGATTTTATTTGGAAATTTGCACATCCAGGAACAAAATGAATGTCAAACGAGTCTGAAGCCTCTACATTATCGAAATGCCCTACAGAGTGTACAGGAGAGCAGCTCTCTTTGTTCTTTCTCTCTTCTTTCCTTCATAGAGATGAATGTTAAGGATATGGCAGCTTTGAGAATTTTTAAAAACAAAGCAGACTGGAAGAGATGGGGAGAAGAACATGCGTTTATTGTGCCTTTCCTCCAGCTATTGTTCAGATTTTATTAGAAAATGGAATCCTCACCCTTTGTTAGAACATCTGAGGCTTATTTTCACAAGCACTACATTTCTCCCCACAAGAACTACATTTCTCCCCATTTTCTTTGCCTTTGTTGTAGATGATGGTCCATAATGTCTCCTACTTAATGGCCTCTTAGGCAAAACTACATGCAATTACAGTATATCAGGTAGTTGTCCACCGTGTGCTACGTGCCATGTAATACTGAGTACAGGGGCCTTAGTGGCAAGTGTAATCCTGCATCTGCTGGGAATCTCCGATACAGAGCCTTGATTTTTGCTTTTCTGCCTTTGCTTATAAGAGTACACAAAAGAGAGGCCGCTTTTCCTGTTCCGCTGCAATGAGTTGCTATCGCCACATCAGGCACCGGTATCTCATCTGAGGGCAGAACCACCAGCTACAGAAGTCTGCTGTTGTGTGGACAGGCATTGGAGTGTGGCTGGAAGCTGAAGCCCTGCTTTCTCCAGGAGCCAGCATAGAGCTGTGCTGGGCACCTGTGGGCAGGAGGATGCTCAGTGCTGCTCAGTGCTGCTCAGTGATGGTCACTGCTGTTCAGTGCTGGTGGTGCCCTCATGCTCCCTGCAGCTAGGAGCATGGCACGGGGTGCAACTGGAAGCAGCAGCTGCCCTGGGGTTCTGGGAGGTGCCTCACAGCAATCACACGTTTTTAAGAGTTATGTTGTAATCTACAAGCCTGATCTTCTGTCCAGAGGATTGCTGTTGCTCAGGCTGCATGCACAACGTGCCCGGTGCCTGCACAGTGTGTCAGGACGACCTCAGGAATGGGGCTGAACCACTGGTGAGCTGCAGGGCTGGAGTGTGGGCCTGCTGGGGCTGCACGTGGTTGGCAGAAGGGTGACTCACAGCCTCCTCTGTCAGCCCCTCTGCAGCCACAACAGGAAAATGCCTTTCTTTCCTTTGATAGAGTGCAAAGTGTGGGGCAGTGGTCAAATGCATGTGGACTTGTTATTCATAAGCAAGTCGTGGATGGTTTCACCTTTCCCTTAACGTAGCTCTGTTGCTCCATGCTTTTTCATAGTAAGCAGGACACCTCTGGGTGTGGGAAAAGGCCATTCTCTTGGTCTCTGTGTCTGCAAACACGAAGAAGCTACTTTAAATATCAGAAAATGGAGGAAAATGTCTGCTTGCTTTGTTTGCAGCCGAGGAGTGGGAGCACCATTTGCCAGCCATGCTGGCCACAACACGGCATGGTGGGGGAACGTACTTCAGGAGATGGATTCAAAAGGCTTGAGCAGAAATTGAAGCTTTTCTTTCCCGTCACTTGTTTGAGTGGGAAGATGTATTTTTGTTGCATTTCTTTAAAGATGCCTTTCTATGTGATGTATTTAAATTCCTCTGTGGATGCATTCCTAGTGCCAATTTCAATACGTTGTACTTCTGTCAGATCTTATGGAAGGAAGTGAATGGGAAAACTATTTTGAGATCATTTGCCTTAAAAACAAGCTTGTTTGTGTGCCAACTCAATGTGCATCGTATCTGTCAGAATAAAAGTGCAGTAGAATACCTGGTCCTGAGCCTGGTTCCTTTTGGAGCCCAGAGGAGGCCATGGGCTTCTTGGAGTGCGGCCACTTCGCCATCCATGGGTTCTTCCCATACAATTTCCTGCCCCAGGAAAAGAATCAGAATAAGGCAAATGTTGCCTTATTAAAATAGAGGGACTACGTTATTTGCATTATTTCTTCTTATTCTGTCACGTGTTGTAACTTCAGCTCAGGCCTCTGGAGTTTCTGAAACAGTTTTGTGCAGGAGAGCAGCACAAAGCCGTGTGCTCTGTGGAAGTCCTGCTGGCACACAGCACCCAAATCCTGCCCTGGTGAGTCACCACAAGGCCGCCGTGCAGTAAGCAGCCTTCAGAAGAGACACGGCAACTAATTACATGCAATTTTCCCTAATTTCCAACATCCTGCCTGTTTCCTTTGATGCTCCGTAGCTCTGCAGGGATTGCCATGTGGCATCCCCACATCACGGCTCTGAGCGTGCCTGGCGGCCCTTAGAAAGCATAATGCACCCAGCAGCACTCACATTTCCCCATAGTTTGTTCCCACCATCCGTCCTGGCCACTATTTGGAGGTCCTCCTGAGGAAGCAGCCCTGCAGTGGGGCACAGGGAGCTGGGGAGCAGTGGTGAATGTCCAGCTGCAGGGAGCACAGAAGGGAGGCACAGGCACTGCACACAGAGTGACAGCGAGAGGAGCTGCACGGGGCAGGAGGAAGCTGGGTGGTGATCAGCAGCAAGATGTGAATCCTTGCCCGAATAGCAAGAGCGAGAGGTCAGAGAACAGAGCAGTTCCACTATGGGGCCAGGATAAGGGGTTGGAGGTTATCTCACTGTGGCCATCAGTACCTGAGGGGAACTTAAAAACAGGAGAGTCTGATGGCACGGTCTGATAGCAACAGAACGTGGGGGAATGGCTTTCAGCTAAAAGGGGAGACTTGGGTCAGATGGAAGTTGTTCACCCGGAGGCGGTGAGGCCCCAGCACTGCTGTCAGAGCTGGAGGTGCCGAGGCCACGGATGGGTCCTGGTCAGCCCTGGGAGCTGGAAGGTCCTTGTAGCCCTTCCAGTTTGTGACGCTGCTTCTGCAAAATGCTCTATTCTGTTTCTTCTGTTCACTTGAATGAGCAATGCTTTTAGATAAGATAATATTAATTTAGAATAAACACTTGAAAGTACTCTGGGGACCAGTGAAGACGATGACAGCTGGCAGACGGCACCAGAGCAATAAAAGCCCAACATTTTGGATATGCCTGTGTGAATGCAGCCTCAGACCCATCCCCACAAGCACCACTGGCACAGCCCAGCTGCCAGCAGCCCTGAGCCCACACTTCAGCAGCCCCAGGGCTGTTTTGGGGACAGTAGAATCACAGAATCCCAGCATGGTTGGGTTGTAAGGGAGCAGGGATCAGCAGGGCCCCGGGCTGCTCTGTTCCCCATCTGAACCCTTCAGATTCTTTGGATCTCTTCTGAAGAATGCTGGAAGAGCTCCGGCACCAGAAAGGTATTTACTGCAAAAGCCCTGAGGGTGGTGGCTGCTTTATGAGGACAGCATTTGTGGAGCTGCTCTCTGTGGTTCATGTTCCAAGGACCGGTGCCTGGAGGTGGGCAGCTCAGCCCTGCTCCTTGTGACGCTCCTCACTCATTCCCAACCTGCTGCCGCCCCATCCAGAACTGTGGTTATAAATTAACAGATGCTGCTTTTATTCCTCACCACATTTCTCCCCCAGGAAGCGTGGGAGCCTCATGAGCCACTGAACACATTTGGTGGTTTCTCTGACACAACCGGAGCCTTGTGGCATTGCGGCACTGCCACCCCTGGCTGCCTAAACCAGCTGCCAGGTGCCCGAGGGAGCCCAAATTCACCCAATGCAGCATCAATCTAAAACTCTGCGTGGTGCTGGGCCTGCTCTCAGGCTGCTCACAGCATTGACACCGTGCTTCTGCTCCTGCTGGAAGGTGCAGGCATCTGGCATGCACCACTGGGTTTGCTCTGAGCCCCTCACCCTCCCCACTGCATGGCCCAGTGAAACCATGGCAGCACGCTGGGCAGTGGCCCCAACGCTCACAGCGATGCACAGGGATTCGGCCCTCATTTCGCTCCACTGCAGAAGATAAAAGGGCCACTTTGAGTATAAATATGTTAGATATGTTCAAAAGCATTTTATTAAAGACAATGTATTTATACTTGGGGCAGCTTTGTTTTGATAATAAGTTGTAGCAGAGGATAGGAGCCCCGGTTATTATGACTTTCTCTAAACACAGCCATCTCACAGCCCTTGCCTGCCCTTCAGCACGCCGCTGTTTGCACTGAGCGGAGCCGCAGTCACCACACACACAAATAAATCCAGTGCTTATAAAGGCTCGTGGCCCTGCGGATGAAAGGAAATACACACCCCATCTCAGAGGGACTTTATAGTGTGAAGCATCAATTCCCAGCAGTTTTGCAATTTATATGCTGCCGGGTTGAAGCCAGCTGGAGTTTTGCCCCATGTGTTTGCAATTCACTGGCTCTGGATGTGAAGAGGCTTTAAAGAACAGAGACAAAAACTCACCCAGGAACCCTTTGTCCCCTTTTGGGCATCATTTTTTCCCATCCTGACAAGTGAGGAGAAGGTCACTGCTCGCTCTGCCTCATCCCATTGCCCTGCTCCATCCCATTGCCCTGCTCAGTCCCACTACCCTGCTCCATCCCATTCCCTGCTCCATCCCATTCCCTGCTCCATCCC